CCCCAAAACCCCAAAACCCCAAAACCCCATTTAATAAAATTTTATCATTGAAAGTTTGAATGAAATATATGAAAACCCATAAAGAAATCCAAAGCAAATTTAGTAAATTGCTTATCTTCATTAGGGTTAATCCATATTAAGTTTCTGAATAATTCTTGCAGCATACTTAATGACTTGAGGATCATTGCTAGTTGCTTGCTGAGTGTAGGGATCAATAATTGCTCTGATACCCATCTTTTCAAATTCAACTCTGCACTCCTTGTAGACACAAAGGTTGCCAATGGAGAAGAGGGCAATTCTTCTTGGACTTTAAGATGGTCCTTTGTCAGTGCCGACTACATCAAGTAGCTGTCTGAGTGCGCCATGCTTAATCAGATCTTTACACAAAGCGTTGGAATTTCTGACAAAGTTACCAAGAGCACCAGCAGCATTAGCTCTGGTCTTCTCTTCTGGATCTTTAAGCAAGTCGACTAGAAGGGGCACACATGGCTTCAAATGCTCATAGAGCACATCATTGTGGAAGCCAGCGTTTCCTACTGCGAAACAAGCAAACTTTCTGGTGTTTCTATCAGAGTCGCGGCAGCACTCAATAGCTGCTGAGATAAGTCCATGCTTTAAGAGCTTTTCATAGAAGAATCCAGTGTGTCTGCAAAGATTTCCAATCAAATTGCAGACTTTAGCTCTAATTGAAGCATCTTTGTGATAAATAAGTGCCTTCAAATCATTGTAAATGTTGGCTTGATGGATATTCTCATAGAAATCCTTAGAAATTCTAGCTAGCTGAGATATTAATGAGAGTGTGTCAACAATCAGAGCTGATGAGTTGTCTTCGGCAAGCAGTTTATACTTAGCAATATTGGCTAGACCCCCACCTTAAACGAATTACTAGGCAAAGACTTTAGAGGACTCAGCGTTGAAAACCAATCTTGAGATCAATGTCACTGCAATGGAGATATTTTCCTTGCTCACGTATTTCAAGGAGTTCAAAGTCAAGTAGATGATGTCTGCTTTTGCCAAGTCATTTGAAATTTGATCTACATCCTTATCATAGATGGGATTGTTGAAAGGAATATTGAATATTCTCAAAATTTGAGTAGTTATCATAGACGAGGCAGCTTGACCGCCACCAGCAAACTATGGCCACTCTTATACTGCTAGGAGTTAATCATCTCTCATTAGTGAGCACTTGAGTTTGAGGCAGTTTTTGAACATTTTCTACATGAATGGCTTTTAATCATTAGCAACCATATCGTGAATGAAATTCATCATTGCTATAAAGCCTCTTGGTGAAAGATCAGTTTTTGAGGTCAAATTTAGCAGGAAATTCATTACTGTGTCGCCAATGTTGATGGTGTTGATTGAACTCATCAAATCATTCTTCTTGTCCTTAGCTGCATTGTTCATTTTCTGATCAACTTGCCATTTAACTAGTAACTTTTGAAGTAGACTCAATGGCTGGTCGTAGTATCCTACGTAGGGCACTCCAAAATTAGTTCCATCAATCTTCTTGATGTCGCTTTTGTTCTTATTAACATCAAGCAGTTGCTAGAGAAGTGAAAGTGAATTCACTTGTGAGAGTTTTTACTGAATGATGAAAGAAGCCTAATTCTCCAATGATAATATGTCTGAAAGGACTCCACAAGCAGTAACTGCAACTAATGACTCTCCTGATGCTCCCACATTCTTCTCAAACAAGTCTACTATCTTGGCATGATCCAACCTCAAAACTACAATTGGGTCTTTCTTAATGGTCATCAAGAACTTTTGCAACAATCCATAGATTTAAATCGAGCAAGCCTGAATGAGTCCATCCTTTGAGTTGAAAATGCTGTTATTTAAGTACTGCATAGTCTAGTTGTGGTTGATAATCATGTCTGCAACAGTGTCTGAAGTCTCCTTCTTTAACCTCAAAAGCTGAGTAATTATTCTTAGCACTGCAACTTTAGTCACAACATGCTAGTTTTCATCTTCTGAGTTGAAGACCATGACCAGCTTTTACAAGAAATCGAATTCTGCTAGGTGCTAGAAAGCCACTTGCCTAACTTGGTCAAAACTGGGGAGAGCTTCAAGATACTCGTTCAAGTTATCATGAGGACCTCTCTTCCAAGGGAAAGAGTAGGTATCACCATATATAGGATTAATGATTACAGACAGAACTTAAACTGCTACCTTTTGCAAGGGAGTGGCTACTTGACCTACGCTTTACACAATCTGGCAAATATCTGCGATCAGCCTTTAATCGATAAGATCTTTGTAGAAATTCTACATTCTGATGGGAATGATGCTGGCTTAACTTGCAAATATACCAAGTGACTTCAAAGCACTAATTTGAAGCTGAGGACTAGAACTGTCTTTTATCAGGATTGGGATCAAAGGAATGAACACTTTCATGACTATAGTTTCTATGCCTATCTGCTTGTTGAAGTTAGACTTCCCAAGCAAGGCAACATTCTTTACAAGGTCTGATAAGAGTTCTGGCATTTTGATGTCACTCTTCATGAGGTTTTTAAGCATTTGAATCAGCAATGTGGGCAAAGATGAACTCTTAGTGATATCTTAGTTTTAGTCTTCAGATGTGCCCTTTGTGAGAATGTTGGCTAAGACTTTGAGTCCTACCTAGAGAGCTGATTTCTTATCTTTCTACTTTAATTCTTAAGGTGTCATTTAGAAAACTCCAATGATTCTATCAAGCAACTAGGATTCATGCCTCAAATTTGTAGCTCCCATCTCGTCTTAAGATTATTTTTCGAACTTCTGCCATTGTTCATCCACAATCCTAGGAGAATTCATTCCATCGTCATCTGCAGCAACAGTTGGGTAGTTATCGAAGTCAAAGTTAGGTAGATGCTTGTCATTTACGAATGCTTTATCAGCTCCTGCGCCCTTGGCTTTGTCAGCCTAGCCTGGATTGGGCAACTCTTCAATCTCAAAGATCTCAGCCTTCAACTGCTTGCCTCCAGAGTGATGAACTGAAGCAGCCCACTGATTGTAGAACTCAGTTCTAAGCTTTCTATCCTTCTTCTCCTGATCTGTTTCTCTAACAAATGGGTGTTATAGAAGTTCAGGCCACGACAATCTCTCACTTGGTGTTTTGTTGAGTAACCCCTGAAGGAAAGACTTGAATTCTGGACTCATGTTGTCTGGGAATTTGACTGGATCCTTCACAATGAGATGAATCAAGGTGTAAATTGAGTTGGTGTAGAAGGGTGGAGTTCCTACGAAGAGCTCGTAGATGATAACTCCGAGTGACCAAAGATCGACTGTGTGATTGTAAGGCAACTCCTGCACCAGTTCTGGAGCCATGTACAAGGGAGTACCCTTGATTGATGTTAAAACAATAGTGTTGGTTGACATTGATCTGGCGAAACCGAAGTCACAAAGCTTGACTATGCCATTGGCAGATATGAGAATGTTTTAAGGCTTCATGTCTCTATGAATGATTCTGTGAGAATGGAGGTAGTAGAGAGCATGCACAAGCTGCTGAGCTATCTTTCTAACTTCTGCTTCTGGCAAGTTCCTATCGTCCTCAAGAATCTCGAAGAGCTCTCCCTAAGCGAACTCAGTGACCACGCAGAACTCGTGAGAGGTTTCAAAAGAATCCAAGAGCAAGATGATATTCTCATGATAGAGGCCTTTGAGGATTTCAATTTCTTATCTCAAGTTATTTAGCTCTTTCTCTGTTTTACCTCTAGATTGACAAAATCAAATGAGTAGGATGTTACCTTTTAGTGATGAACTTGAGAGCAACGATTTGACCAGAGCCCTTCTTTCTACCCTTGTAGACTTTACCAAAGGAACCTTCTCCAATGGGATGCAAAACATGGTACTGATCCATTTGAATTTAAATTTATTATTAATTACAAGTTATTAATGCTACAGATCCTTTGAATTTTTTATTCAATTTTTATTATTTTTATCTACGATATTTTAATGCTAATTTATAGCGATCGGGGTTTTGGGGTTTTGGGG